GATTTGCCGGACTGACAGATGGACAGAGAGACAGACAGACGGACAGACAGACGGACGGAGTGCAAACCTAAAGTCCCCTTCGACTTCGTCGGTAGGGGACTAAAAACACCAAATAATAAATTGCTTCACCGAGCGCAGCTGGATACAACCGCAGAGGTCCATCCCTGAACAGTTGGGGCAAAAATGGACACAATGTTCAAGCTTGATACTTAAAAATTAAATATTTGACACATTATAGGTTTCTGACACAGAATAAATGTAGTCAAAGAACTTGAAATTGGTTACTGTAAATTCAGAAATTATTGCGAGGTTTTTATTAATGCGAATAATGCGACTAGGTGAGTATCGCAATAATAAAAACTCGCATTTTGATAACTGCAACATAGATCTGTATGTAGTTTTTCTGAATTCGCAATAATTAAAATCGCATTCTTGTGTATTTTTGCAAAATCGCAAAAATAAATGCACGCAATAATTTCTGAATTTACAGTATATGATTTGAATTTAAATTCAATTGAAGATTTCTTGCTGTTGTGCAATACACTGTGCTGTTGCCCAATACTAAGTAAATCTGTTTTCAGACTATATATTAAGAATTAGCATAATAAACTGTGAACTCCAATTTTTCTTTGGAAAATTGACAATTTCTTAAATTTTGAGGGGAAAAAAATTGACCCCCCCAAAATTTTTTTTTGTTTTTGGCCCCTAATTCCTAAACGGTTGGGACCATCACCCCCAAAAACAAACCTTCCCTTTGTGGTATTGAACCTTTTTGTTAAATTTCATAGAGATCCATACACTTAAACTAAAGTTATTGTCTGGTCACCAAATGTCTTTGGACGACGACACTGACGAAGACGACGCCGACGTCGTGATAGCAATATACGACCCCAAAATTTAAGAATGGTGATTTGAAACAACCAAGATATATGTTTATGACTCAGAAATATTTTACTGCAATGAAATGTAGGATTAATTTCCTACAACTGTCAAATTCAAGGGAATATTTTTTTTGACCCTTTTTCGAATAAAACCGGATGTGACATACTATGATTTGGTGGTATTACATCTTGAATATCAAATAGTTATTTCTTGAGATTAAATAATCAGCAATCAATTCAATAAGTTAGAGGAGTAGTTGCAATGAAGGACCTATTTCATGTATTTGGCCTCAAAATTGAGTGTCATAAACCAGCTGATTATTGTGTAAAGATAAGTAGGTATGTTGGAAGACTTAAAAGGCATGATAAAAACAACTATGAATATAGATGTAGATTTTATGGTCAAAAGAAGGAATAAATTGAACTTTTCTACAAAAATTGCATTTTTTACACATACTTGTGAATGGGAAAATCCAAAATGTAGAGCACATGCAAGTACCATAAAAAAATATTTACATGACAGAAGTTGTTCATATTGACAAACATTGTGGTAGATTATTTAGTAGGCCCAAAGACAGGTAGAAGGGGCTTTTCTAAGAAGTCAACTAAGAAGGTACTATCTAGAGCATGTAGAGTGATATCATGGATTGGAAACTACCTGCTTATACTTTTTATTACCTTATCCTAAAAATAGACACAACTGGAAATCTCAAATTAAAAATTTAAATTTCAGTCAAGAATTAGGCCAAATAAGGCTCTTATCTCACCTTCATTACCCAAAAATAGATCTACCCAGTATCTAAATGCTTGAAAATTGTCCTTTTTTGATACACATCATGACAGCTAATTAAGTCTTCATCCTTGATAGAACTTTAATGTGGACAGGAAGATCTAATTTGACAGAACACTTAAGTGTCACAACATAACTGATAAAACATTTTAAGGAAACAATGCATTTTTTTTTATTTGTAATTAAAAAGGAGATACAGTAACATCGTATACATAACGTTGGAAGTTTTGGCTCCCCTGAAAACTGTTTCTCCTAAAATAACATGTTATAGCCATATTTACTGACTTTTCACACTTTTTAAAGACAATTATGTACAAATCATGTTAAAATGTACTTAACTTCATCTGAACAAGGTCAATGAAGAACTTCCTCCTTCGATATAGTATAAAGTACTTTAGATATTAGGACAATTTTTGATGTTTTGTTTCTTCTTCCTCAATTTTGCACTTCAAATATGTGAGAATTAAGATACTTATTTTCAAAATATTATTAATTACATTCCTGATAACATAGACAGTCAAGTGGAAATTACTTTAAAAGATACTTGTATAAAACCTATTGCATTTCATAAACATGACAATTCTTTTAAATTAACATTTCCCTAAAATATTATTTACAATGGCAAAAATAATAGCTATTTATTTTAACTTTTAGTATGGGTTCAAGAATGTAATCCACCCATTTTCAATTTATTTACTGAAAGTAAATTGATCTAATCAAGCTAAAAGATCTTTTAAAACACCACTTTTTAAGCTGCTAAGTAATGTTAAATAACTAAAATGTAAAAAATTTATCTGAAATAATCAAAGTTAAAACCACATATTGCTTGAAATTAGCAAACTTAAATTTTTTTGAGGTAAAATTATTGAAATATTCTTCATTAAGCTGAGGACAACCCATGCTTTGCAAATTTTAGGGGGGCGCTTGCCCGCCACGCCCCGCCTGAATCCGCCCCTGACATCATAAGTAAAGCTTTAGATCACCCTGAATCTAGACAAGAAATGAATTAAGTTAACAGAGACTATCAAAGATCAGCCATAATCACAAAATTCTCAAATTAAAGGACAAAATAGAAACAATGTTAGTGTCTGTCTGGCTATCTGTCTTAAGGTTGTCTCCTATAAAAATAAGAGGATGTTGTATGATTGCCAATGTGACAACTCTCAACCAGCAACCAAATGACATAGAAGTTAACAACTATAGGTCACTGTATGGTGTACAGCCTACAACAATGAGCAAATTCAATACTGTGTAGTCAGCTAAAAAAGGCTCCAAATGACAAATGTAAAACAATTCAAACAAGAAAACTAACGGCTTCATTTATGTTCAAGGAAATAAACAACCAAATAAGAGAAGATATTTTTATTCCAATTAAAGGGCCCATGAAGAGCAAAGTAATTTATAACAATGATTTTGATAATTGACACAATAATTTTACTGAATTTGATAGCTCATTTTAGCTAACATGTATCTATTTATATACCAAACAAAAAAAGGCTCTGCAGTTTTTAAGCTAGTAATCAGAAAAGATGCAAGGCACTAAGTTTCTAAAAGCTTTTAAAACTGCTGTAAAATTATATTACCACTAGGAAGATTTTAATTATTTACCAAGTGATAATCTGAAGGTCAAACTTCCATATTATATACATAGGTATCTATAAGATTTATTTTTACTTCCTGATCTCATTTAATTTACCTTGTTGGCTTTTAAAAAAGGTACATTCAAAAAGTGTGTCATTAAAAGCAATAAATATTATTCAAACCCGGTCAACAGGATAACTTCATATAACTTTTGACAGTTTTAAGAACTAGATTTGGCCACCATATGAGTAAACACTATAACATTTTATATGAAAACATAAGATATGGAACAAGATTAAATTTTACAGTTTACATAAAAGTCCCAACCCAACTGCTTCAGGTAAGTATAACTGACGCAGCTTTAAATCTAATGAGATGTGTAGGACAACAATTATCATATAAAATGTTTTGAAACTTTTCAGATGGAATTCCCTATAACAGTTACAGGTTTCAATTTACAAGTTTCCTGATAATGAAAGGACATCTTTTGTCTACAAATGATCTTAATTCTAAATTTTTTCATAAAAATAGTATTATTCCAATAGGACTGAACTATTTAATCACCTTTAAATCTTGTTTCAGTTTTCTTAAGGTTCCTACACAAATCATATGAAAGAAAACATTAAATTATATCTCTTTTGTATGCAAGAAACCAATGTTAAACCTATAAATAGTATGTATTGATATGATAGGGTATTTTCTTGACTTCCTGGTTAGGTTTATTTTGAACAAAACTAATTACATCACCCTTAATTCTATATGATGGAAGGCATAAGATATATAAAATTCCTCCTTCAAACTTCTACCAAAGATGAAGAAGACAGCACACACTAAAATTCTCTCCTCCTTTACTGATCAGGATTGAATTTATGTTGAAAGTCTTTTAGATAAAAGTTTTACTACAAATATTACATACATTTTTTTTGTACTTTAAATTATTAATGATCCATTTAATTGAGTTCAAGGTCAGAAGTACACTTCACACTCATTCCACTTATTACACCAAATTTAGTTGGCTTTTAGCTTATAATATCTGAGAAACAGACCTAACCATGAAATTTTAAGATTGACCAGTGAACCAAGAAAATTAGGTCAAGGTCAGATGAACCCTGTCAGATGGACATGACTACTGTACAATCATTTCATACACCAATATAGTTGACCCATTGGTTATATTATCTGAGAAACAAACCTAATAAGTCACAAAAATTCCAATAAGTCATTGAGAATGACACAGAATACTGTTATCAAAAAACTAGGTACATTTGTAAGCATGAGCCAATAAAACCACTAAGTAAACTTTATACATGTTACAACTCATTTAAAAATTTGTCAAAGTGTTTTATGTACAGGTGTGTTAGAAGGAGGAATAAATGGGCCAGGGGGTAAATCTGTGTACCCCCATTTTCTCCCAAGCAGGGGTACATGTATGATAGGAAGAATCTCTACCAATCTACAAAAGCTGATCAGGTGTAAAATTGCACCTGGAATACACCACAAAATAAAATGCAATTTGTCATGTTTGTACTGTGTTAACCATATAAACCATGATAACCTATTTACACGTTAATTACATGTATACTAAATTCAAATTGATTCAATGTTTTATATGTTAAATGATGCATGTAATAAGTTTATATTTCAGTCCAGATCTACCCAATTTTTCAAGTTTTGGTATCAGAAATTATAATTAATCAGTATAGAATAAAGCTGAATTCTGTATGTATAACTTGAAAGCTTTGTGATACCTGTCTTTCCAGATCCATACTCCTCAATAATATGTACAACATCACCCACTGATAAAGATAAACATTCTGTTCTGTTGGGATTGTAGTTTACCACAGCTGAAACAAGAAATATGGATACATGTACATCACATGAATGAGAAGACTTGCAACATGGAAACTTTAAAAATTGTACCACTCAAATACATTTGTAGCTGATTTATGTAAATTTAGACTAAATGATGTATGTGTGCTACTGTTTAACAATATTTATCATTAACAATGATTAATGGTGCATAAATTTGTACTACAAAGTCAGTTGGTCAGTTAAGCTGTATGTCTAAGATGTGTTTAACAGGGATGCTCAAATATAAAAGTAAAAAGATGTGGTATGATTGCCAATGAGACAACTGTCCACCAGAGACCAAATGACATAGCAGCATTTTTTATGACAGCTTCCATCAAAATCTTATATTTAAATTTGGTTGTTATTCAGAAATTTAGAATGCAATTCATTTATATTTCTGTTAATATTACAAAAATATAGACTATTTTGTGATAATTGATCAAACAACTTTAACTGACTTCTTGAAGAATTTTGTGAAAATTGATATTATCTTCAATCTAATAAAAATCAAATCTCTTTCTTATACTCTGTTATTTAGGATATACATGTATACCCCCTACAAAGATACAGCAACCGAAATAACAAAATAGTCAGACATCTGAATCTAATCAGATTGCTTTATCAAATAAAAAAATCCTTTGACCTAACACAAGCAATGACAAGGCAGACTGTCCTTATCATCTCAAACACTTCAATTAATAGGTCACATAAAAAATGTAGTTTTTAGATAGATTATCTCTTAAATCTGTTTTTTAACTACATATTCAAATGTATTTATTGCAACACAATAAACACATGTACATGTAGATGACAGGTTTGTTGGTTGACTGAGTTTAACACTTCTGATGTAACTTTATCAAGTATCTCCTAAGGATCTTTTCTGCCTAAATAAAAGTAAATTATCTATTTTTATGTTGAATGACGTGGTTTATAATTTCCACTGATTCTGAAAAAAGCATGTATTATAATTTATAGATGAACATGTAGGTATACATACAAAAACTATACTGTTTACTTCAGTAAGTTCAGTGACCATAAAATATAAATTAGAGAGTTCTACAAATTAGAATGTACTTTAGTACAAATGTACATGTATGTATACAGTGATTGATTGATTGTTGGTTGCTGTACATCCAGTAGCAAGTATTCATGCACATTCAGGGCTAGAACAATATTAATTTACAATACATGTGTAGGTTCTGTAAGATGGGTTGACAGAGATGTGAAAAGTAAGGGCTGGAAATTTGAGAAATGTTTGATAGGCCGGCAGACGTTTGCTGTGCGACAGGCCACCTCAGGAACCTGAGTCAGAAAGTTGTTGCAAGGACTTTTAATGTGCTGACCAGTGGCGGATTCTGGGCACCTTCCTTTTGATTGGAAAATATATAAATTTGTCTAGAATAAATCGTCCAAAATTTGTGTTTTGCCTCACTACACTCACAGTATTTCTTTAGAATGTTCAGTTTTATGGATAAAACCCCCATGAGAATAGCAAACAGATACCCCCTTTAGCAATGTTTTACTCCCAGACGGAGTCTAGTATTAGACATATTTCATACCCCAGTCAACCCTTTGGGTTACATTTGTACTTGAATTTGTAGTACACAATGTACACATGGTACAACTGCAATATGTCTTATAGTAATTTCGAGTTTAAAAAGTTATAACTTTCTTACCAACTCCATATTTTTGACGAGATTTATTCCATGTATTTAATTCCATTGTAATTTTAACACAACAGTACTGTTTACTTCCGCATTTTGTAAATCCCTCTCATTTGCAACACTGATTCATTATCTGTCCTCTCATTTCACCAACTCCAATTTTCGGTACATCACAAGATTGCTAATTTTGAAATGGTTTTAATTATTTTTATATCGTGAATCTGGCAAATAATTGTTCACAATAAAGCCGTGTCAGCCAGACAATAACCTGTTGGAAAATGATGCATACAAATTTTCCAAATTTATTTATAAATTATTCAGTGCGGAACTTCAAGATGTCAGCCCCCACAGCAGCTGATTCGACGGTTGCAGGTTTCAACATTTTAACATGTTTAATGATTATATCAAACTTTCAAATTGAGTTTAATTGCTAGCTGTATTAGACGACTTGATCTTTGCATTGATTCCTTTAATTAAATGTCTTACTTCTTATATTTTTCACTTTCAGAAATAAACAAAAATTGGTTGTGCCTCATTTTCAGCAGGTTATGTTATGATTGTGTAGTTAAAATAAATATAAAGTTTTGAAAGGCTATGTTATTTTTTTTATAAAAAATAAAATAGCCCTACAAGACGTCATAATTATTAGGACTAGCTATTGTCTGACTAGTATAGCGATGACAAAACTTGGTTGTGTACCAGAAATTTCAGATTTCATGAATATTGTAACAGGAGGGGGTCAGTGTCGACATCTTTTGGGACATGTAGTGGTTAGTACTTCCTCCCTATTCGATCATCGTGATACCTGATATCAGATTTTGGCTTAACAGAGACATAAATCAAATAGAACTCAACAATTTATTTACAAATGTACAACATTATCAAGTTATACAAAGTCAAATGAAATAAAAAATAATAATAATTCAAAAGTTAAAAAAAATTAAAAAGTAATAGTTCGCAAAGGAAATAAAAAGGAAAAGAGTTTCAAGTCAAATAAATTCAAATAAAAATGGTAATATTAACAAGTTAAAGTTCAAAAAGTAAATGCAAAATTTTGTATTTATATCCTTCGCGTTGTGTATTAGAATAATTTTAGTAAATTGTATCAAACTAATGCCAATGTAGTTGCTGAAAATCAACAAGTGGAACCAGTGGATTCCTGCAAGCTATAAATTAGACTGAATTAAAAGTGTATTAGAGAAGGGTGGCATTGCTACACTGCTGGCTCATATATATGGTATTGAAGAAATATTGAATAAATGAGTATAAATCAGATATATAAAGTGACATGAAATTAAAATACTTTTATAGTTAAATTAGTAATGCTACTTTATATATACTTATATTTTAGCATACATGTACATGTATCTAAATCACATCCATTACAATAAGCTGTTTAGTTTTCTATGTAGTGCTTTGTGTACTGTTGTTTGTCTTTTCAAAGTTTTTCGTTTTTGCCATGGCATTGTCAGTTTGTTTTTCGTATGATCAGCTTGTTTGAATATCCCTTTGGTAACTTTCGGCTCTGTTGTCTAACCGGAACTCAATGGTTTGGAAGTAAAGACGACTTTCACATGGGTGCATTTTTCCATAAACTTCCATTGTCACAATGCTAATGTTATAACAACACAGTAAGAGTTAATTGTTCAATGCCATCATTTACATTTAAGGTAGATGGGGTGTCTAAATTATAATCCATAGAATTTTTTAATAATTTCCAAACATGTAGTTTATTTCATGCTTTTTTTTTTTAAATAATAAAAAGAATGGGTCACAGGGCTTATTTTCACGCTACAGGTTGTGCAAAATTGACAGATTTTTGTATAGATTATGCATGCAAAACCCAATTTTCTGCCATAAAACGAACACTACACCATAGAATTTTGAGAAAAAATATGAGAAGATAGCTCTAATATTATGCTTTCAGATAAGAAAAAGAAAAAATGGGGTCACTGTGAGTGAGGAACCGTTTTCTTGCTACATAATAAAATAGGCAAATTCCTAACACATTCTATTGTAAAAGTAACTTTATCTGAATTATCTGCCCTTACATTTGAGTTGCCTCCCCTTATGTGACAAAGTTGGGAAAAATTGAATCAAACAAAAGTATTCTGTTTTTTGTAAAATACAACCATAAATATGATAAAACATGTCATTTTCTATATTGAAATGAAAATTCTTACACATGAATTACCGACTATTCTCAAAATTTGCACATTTTATTAAAGATCTAGACCGATTGTTTTCTGGTATTTCAAATCCAAGATGGAGGAAGACACCCTATCTACCTTAATACCATTCAATCCAATCCAATCACAGTCACGTCTCAGTCATTACAACTGAACGGACGTGCTGGGTCAGCTCTCCTTTACCCGCTATCTTCGATGAGGGTTTACTGTTAGATGGATCAACGACTTACTACTTTCGATGACAGAAACCAATCCAACGCTGTACAGACTACGTTAGGCTATAATCCGCGTAGGGCTAATTCCCGCGTCAACATACACTCCAAAACCCATTATGGATGGGGGAGTGGTATGCCAAGTGACGTCCGAGGGCTGTATCCTAGGTGTTAGATGATGGACCACCATTTCACTGTCTCACGACTTTGGTCCTGATAATGCTTCCTGTCATCGTTAATACTACGTCCGAGACTCATCTACAAGTACTCCATCATCGAGGTTAGCGGGCTGCCAAGCTGACCAATCTGGCCCTGAAAGCAGCTGTTGTGAAGATATAACATCAAAATAGTCAACAAAAGAAAAACCAAAACAACTCACAAAACCAAGATGGCGGCCTACCAAAATGGCGTCCTCCACCTGTTCCTGACCGATGGCACAAAATTATTTAAACGCTCACCAAACGCCTTTGGGCACCGAGCCGACCGTGCGAGGGATGTATATCCAGTCAAGGTCGTTAAAAACTTCCATTTGTTGTACCTTAATACTGATTTACGTCTGGTCATTCAGTGCAACCCGTTCATAAAAAGTAGGTCACCTTGGTGATCTGAATTTAAACTTAACAAGTAAAACTAAATAGAAGAGGAGCATGGATTTTAACTTTAAAATTTTACATGAATAAATCTTAAAATTCTTTCCAGTTGCAATCTAAAGTAAGATTAGATAATGCTTTGTCTTAAAACAGTAAGTTTTCTGAAATCAAAGACTGTTTATAAGTGATGACTTCCATCCTTCACAAGCATATCTCTCCCCCCCCCCCCCCCCCCCCCCTCCTATGTGAAAAATTTTTTTTTTACTGTCTTAATGGGATTAAATTTATCAGACTTTTACAAATAAAGTAAAAATATATGTCGGAAGATAACAGCAGTACATGTATGTCATATTTACACTACACTGTCCTTTTTATATTAAAAGCCAGGTGGCGGTTACTAGTAACTGATCATGCTGATGGTAACAGGTCCTCTATAGCTACCAGTAGTCCAAATTATGATATCTTTAAATAGAATAGAGAATGGAAACAAGGAATGTGTATAAGAGACAACAACCCGACCAAAGAGCAGAAAACATCCTAAGGCCACCAATGAGTCTTTAATGCACTAAAAAACCTGCACCTGCAGCTGGCCTCTTAACAGTAATGTATACTAGTTCAGCGACTAAACTCTGAAACATACAAATGAACCAAAATTTAAAAAATTCACAAGACTTACAAAGGCTAAAGGTTCCTGACTTGGGACAGGAGCCAAAATGGATGGAGTTAAACATGTTTTGTGAAATTTCAACCTTCCTCCTATATGTCTGGCCAATATGGAATAAGTAAACACACAGTAAAACTCATTTTAAAAGAAGTCCAAGTCTGATGTTAGAATAAGTAACAGAAGAAACTAAGCAAAATGACAATGATCAGCATAAATTGATAAAAGTTATTTTAATTTTTGCATTGACGGTGTATTGGTCAAGGACCATTTTCCAATAGTTTAATACCGATAACGTCTGGAATTATATGCAAAAAGAGGAGTATTTCTTAAAGACAACATTCTGCTTTTATCATAGACAAATATTTATAAAGCTCTGTTTTGTTTGACAAATTTGGACCACTCCCCCAAATAGGTTATACTAACCTGTTTGGGATATAAATTCACGGTGCTAAAAACGTTAATTTTGGACATCATAAAACATTTATACAAAATAACCTGCATTAGATTTAAAGTGATCCATTCAACTCAGTAAAAATAAAAATGTTAAAGGGAAAGGCAGAGTTTTTTGGTTTTTTTTGTGGGAAGATACATGTATGTGTTGTGGACATGACATGCATGTACACATGTAGTCACTTTCAGTCCCCAAATCCCCCCCAAATCCCCGCCCCCACCCCACCCCCCATTTTTGAAAAACTTGCTTTAGAATACAAATTATTTCAGCATTAAAGCATTAAATGCTTTTTAAGCTCGCTCACTCACCAAGAAAGACTCATATTGTGACTTGCAGCTGACATTTAACAATATAAATATGCAGAAAGTCTGATAATCCCCATCATAATGGACAAGTCTAGCTTTGTAATAAGATTGATATCTACTTTTAATAGTAGCAAAACATGTGTGTTCAGGGTTTCCTGTTTAATAAAGAATTGTAGTGTTGATAGGTTGTTATCTTATTTTTGGTCACATGCTATAAAATATTTTGTCTAATTGAGTCTGGTTCCAGCATTATACATATACATGTAAACACAACCTATGACCCTTCAGTGGCCAAATTTTTATTTTTGTTGACTCCAAGTCTTAAAAAAGTAAAATCTTTCTAAACAACATGAACTAAAACCAAAATTTCAATTATAGGTATTCAAAAAATTTCAAAATATCTTTATCAACTTTATTATTATTTTGTAGAAAATTCTTAATAACATTAACTATGTGCCCAAAAACTGTCCTTTTTGTCGAACCTGCGACTTTTGTCGCAAAAGCGAGACATAGCGATCCTACATTCCGTCGGCGGCGGCGGCATCCACAAATATTCACTCTGTGGTTAAAGTTTTTGAAATTTTAATAACTTTCTTAAACTATCCTGGATTTCTACCAAACTTGGACAGAAGCTTGTTTATGATCATAAGATAGCATCCAGAAGTAAATTTGGTAAAAAAAAAATCCTGTTATTCGTATTTTACTTATAAATGGACTTAGTTTTTCTGCCAACAAATTTTATAATAGCATCTTATATTTACATGCATTTTTATTGATGAATTAAGGGAAAAATCATTAAGCAATGTAAAAATTATCTTCTTTATCATTTGTTCATTCAATAAATTTATGTTTCAACTCTTTTATAAATCTATAGATTTGATTGCATACTGTATTCATTTTTTACAAGCATAACTTTTTTCATACATTTCAAATGTTTTATTTCATTAACTGTAAATCTATTATGTGCATTCCCAATCACACTGAAAACATAGACAACAGCAAAGTAGGCAAGACACTGGGTTCTGTGGAACTCTTACAAATTTTTTGACGAGCAAGCAATCCTAGATTCTGTCACAATAGGTGTCGTCAACATTTAGGTTCAGTCTGTGGTTAAAGTTTTTTTATACATCAATAATTGTGTCAAACCTACATGGAATTTTATGAAATTTTGACAGAAGCTTATTTATGACCAAAATACAGTATCCAGAGCAAAATTTTGCAAATATTTATTTTCATTTTTCCGTATATTACTGTTAAATGGACTTAGTTTTTTTTTACAGTTAACATTCAGATTTAGTCTGAGGTGAAAGTTTTTCAGTCATCAATAACTTTGTCAAACCTTCATAGAATTTTATAAAATTTGGACAGAAGCTTGTTTATGACCAAAATAAAGCATCCAGAGCAAAATTTTGAAAATATTTATTTTTATTTTTCCACTTTTAACTGATAAATGGACTTAGTTTTTTACAGTTAACAAGTAGATACAGTCCAAGGTTTAAGTTTGTCACATATCAATTACTTTGTCAAACTTCATAGAGTTTTATGAAACTTTGGCAGAAGCCTTTTAATGATTAAGGGATAATGTCTGAAGTAAACCTTTGAAAATATATTTTTCATTTTTAGTATTTTTCTGATAGATGGACTTCCTTTTTTACAGTTAACATTACAGACAGTCTGGTTTTAAATTTTGTTGACATGATGAATTTATAAACCTTCATGGATTGTTATGAAACTTGGACAGAAGCTAATCTTCATGAACAAGAAATAGCATCTAAAGAAAATGTTTGATTTTTTTTTTTAAATTCTGTATTTTACTGATAAATGGACTCACTTTTTATGTCAACGTTACACTTTTACACTGACAGCAGCAATCGCAGGCGAGACACAGGGTTCCGCGGAACCCCTTACAAATTTTTCGCCTCCATATTTACACTTGTTGTTCAAGAAAACATCATTATGGCTATTTTGTGTATTTCTCCTTTGATCTTTTTTTGTGGTAATTTTTCATTTCATGCTACTGGCTTAAGATAGAAAATTATCGCTAGAAAATAAGGTTGCACGTGCCGTTGTCAATGTAAACATCGACAATGTCATAAGCAAAATATTGATAAACAGATTATCAATCGTCTTTTAAACTCAAGGATGTTTATCGGCCACATCTTATCTCAGGGCTGTCTTTTGAAAAACCATTGATAATCTATAAGTAATTAATATGCAGAAAACCTGATAATCAGAACATACACTGAAATGATTGAAACTGTCCTTTTTCACCTCTATATTTACGCTAGTTGTTCAAGAAAACATAATCATGAAAACAAATAGGGAAATATTAATAATTGTTTTCCAGTTTCTCAAGGTTAAATGATATTTTGTAGGGTTAAATACTCATGAAATGGGCTACACAACCAACAGATTATGTACATAAAATACAGTTCTCTAATACATAAGAGGATAAAGTACGCTTTTTACCAAATTATGTACACTCAATACAATATTGATGTATGATGACAAATAGAAGGTACTGAATATTTTATGTTCAAAGGGGGATAATAAAAAATGAAATCCTGCTACAGCATATATATGAAGAGACAAAATGAAAAGCAAGAAAATCAATATTAGGTGAAACAAAAATGGATTTATAAGAACAATGAACACAAAACTGAAGCTTTACCCAACTTTCAGACATATTTTATTAACTGCATTATCACAGCATTTATTAGCTGAATATGTATTAACTGTTGACCAGAGTAGAAATTGGTTTTTTTTGTAATATACAGTCATAGTTACATAGGTGGAATCCAGGTATGATGATTTCTGATCAAAGAAGTCACTATGTTAAAGATTTCGTTTGTTTAAAAAATTGAGGCTATTGTTATTCTGGTGTTTTCTTTCAGAAAAATTGGTTCTGGAATGCCTCAGGTTATCTCACATTGATGATGATTCAGCTGAATTAAATGACAGAGTTGTCTTCTCTTGTTTATTTTGCAACCAGACTTTTGATGACAAAGATAATGTTCAGAGACATTTGGTGAAAGAACATAAACTTGTGATAGCAGATGTTAATCTCATCAGTCATTTCCAAAGGTAACATGAATAGGTATTAAATTGTTTTATACATTTAAACAGGAGTTTACAATAAGTTATACTTTGAAGGTATAGTTTAGATACAGATAGTTTCATGGTATAATGCCAAATACATTTGTAAATGGGAAAATTGGATATTTTTGTAAAGTAGACAACAACCCAACAATAAAGCATAATAAAGCATAAATACCTAATTAATTATCAACAACTAGCTGTTGCACATAAAATATATAGTAGAACATTTATTTCTAGGTTACAAAAAATAGAATAGACCTTATTGCTATTTAGAAATCTGCGCCGCTTGACCCGAGAATCTGCGCCTCTTGAATTATTGCATTAACGCTCAGGATAAAATTCGAATATCACGGCCCAGGCCATGTGTAAATTTCCAACAAATCTATGGCTTCCATGAATTATTTCTTAAATGTAAATTCAAGAAGTATAACAAATCTATAGTTATAAAAGTTTGATGGTATCTTCTGTGTATACAGGCATATATACAGAAGCAAGGGCAGATAATGAATTATAATTTAATGTCTTGTGTTCACAATGTTAGGCTTTCAAAAATCATGGAAAATGCACGGTAGTCATCAAATCTGGTAGAGAACATGTAAATTTGAAAGCAGTTGTGAAGGAAAACAAGACATGCTGTTTATAAAATCAGGTTTAAACTACCACAGGGTATAAAGCTAGAGGCAAGTGAAGTATAATTCTATCATTATATATTCCAATATATGACATTGATTTGGTATATGTGGGATGCAGGGCAGGAAAACCTTCACTACAATGTTGCATTAAGAATATCGTGCAACATTATTTATTGCCAAAACAGGAAATTAAATCTATTCAGAAGTTTTTATGCTTTTAGTAAAAAAAGGTACACATTGACCTCCACTTTTTAGCTCACCTGGCCCAAAGGGCCAAGTGAGCTTTTCTCATCACTTGGCGTCCGTCGTCCGTCGTCGTCATCCGTCGTCGTTAACTTATACAAAAATCTTCTCCTCTGAAACTACTTGCCAAATTAAACCAAACTTGGCCACAATCATTATTGGGGTATCTAGTTTAAAAAATGTGTCCGGTGACCCGGCCAACCAACCAAGATGGCCGCCATGGCTAAAAATAGAACATAGGGGTAAAATGTAGATTTTGGCTTATATCTCTGAAACCAAAGCATTTAGAGCAAATCTGACATGGGTTTAAATTGTTTATCAGGTCAAGATCTATCTGCCCTGAAATTTTCAGATGAATCGGACAACCCGTTGTTGGGTTGCTGCCCCTGAATCAGTAATTTTAAGGAAATTTTGCCGTTTTTGGTTATTATCTTGAATATTATTATAGATAGAGATAAACTGTAAACAGCTATAATGTTCAGCAAAGTAAGATCTACAAATAAGTCAACCTTCCCAAAATTGTCAATTGACCCCTTAAGGAGTTATTGCCCTTTATAGTCAATTTTTAACCATTTTTCGTAAATTTTTGTAATCTTTTACAAAAATCTTCTCCTCTGAAACTACTAAGACAAATTTAACCAAACTTGTCCACAATCATCATTAGGGTATCTAGTTTTAAAAATGTGTCCGATGACACTGCCCGCGAACCAAGATGGCTGACATGGCTAAAAAATAGTACATAGGGTAAAATGCAGTTTTTGGCTCATATCTCTGAAACCAAAGCATTTAGAGCAAATCTGACGAGAAAAAAAATTGTTCATTAGGTCAAGATCTATCTGCCCTGAAATTTTCAGACCAATCAGGCAACACATTGTTGGGTTGCTGCCCCTGAATTGGTAATTTTAAGAAAATTTTGCAGCTTTTGGTTATTATCTTGAATATTATTATAGATAGAGATAAACTGTAAACAGCAATAATGTACAGCAAAGTAAGATCTACAAATAAGTCAACATGACCAAAATTGTCAATTGACCCCTTAAGGAGTTATTGCCCCTTATAATCAATATAGATAGAGATAATAGTAAGGAGCAAGAATGTTCAGTAAAGTAAGATCTACAAACACATCACCATCACCAAAACACAATTTTGTCATGAATCCATCTGTGTCCTTTGTTTAATATGCACATAGACCAAGGTGAGCGACACAGGCTCTTTAGAGCCTCTAGTTTTGTTTAGGATTAATTATGTACTGATTTGAACATGTTGAAAAATGTTATGTCCAAATTGCAAGAAAAAACAATGATATTCTGATGTATTGGAAAGACAGGTTAAAAAGTCATGTTATAAACTAATGGTTCAGCATATATTTAATTTTCTCTTCTTGGAAGTCTGGATTGTTTTTTTAACATTTTCCCACATATATATATAGTTTTTATCCACAGGTATCTCCTATATTGGAAAGCCAGGTTTAAAGAACAGCCAGTAGAAGATTTTTGTTCCATTATACTTACTAATTCTGGTGATAAAGATGAAGGTAACTACTTATAGCAAAGTCAAACATTCCAACTCTTCTGCAATGTAAAAGCTTTTCTGGTTGATCTTCATCAGTAGCTCTCATGAGCTTTGTCATAAGCTGAATTTAAGTAATCACACTTTCTTACATTGTTATATATTGTAAGAAAAATATATATATCTAGATTATTCTTTAGGAAACTGTGTCTGCAATAGATTTGATGAAATAGTAAATTTGTTTTTCGTATAAAGTGGATTTCTGTGGAATATAACATCATGCAATATTTTGCCCCAAAGAAGGGTCATTAGGTGCAAAAAGCCTCAATTTTGACGATTTGTCGTCCTATTTCTCAACCAGGAAGACAGAGGGATGCTGATAGATGTACCCCACTGTAGTCTGCATGTAGAGTGGACCCCATTGAACACATTAACCACAACAAAGCTTAGGTCGTAGTAAAACTGGTCTGGGTACAGCAGTCTAAAGAAGGTCATTTCCACAAAAAATCCTGAATTTCTCAATTTTTCCCGATTTTTGGCTTCAACTGGACCTGCAACCGGAAGTAGTCATTCACTAAGTGAATTTCAATAATAAACACGATCAGTAGTTATATTCCTGTAGCTTTACACTATTTTGGAAGTTTTAGGCCTCTGAACTGCGTGTGTCAGACATCGAAGGGAAGCCAAGCCCTCCAAAAAAAACAGTTTTATCCAAATTCAATTTTCCAAGTTCGTATTTGAGCTCAAAATGCACCTTAAACATGAGAAGCATGACAATAAATAGCCTTAGGTTGAGGCAACATGCATCAACTTCGAAATTAATATCATAAAATTGACCTCTCAAAGTAGAGAGCCATTGGAGCCAAAGACATGTTTTGGGTAAGATCGTCATATAACGGTCACCGCATGCTAAGGGTTAATGAGACAGCAACAAAATGACACAAACAACCAAAAGACATCTAGAGTTAAGCAACATAATTTATTATGAGTAAGTGATGCTAAGACAAAAGACGTTCTCAATACATTATCTCCTATTTACTGGTAAGTTAAAATCTGACTGTAGAGCATATCTTGAATGACACTTTTTATTTTGATTTCTTGATTTCTTTGTTTTCAGGCCCTAAAGATCAGTATTATTTACTTAGTGATGTCTTGTCTGAAGATAAAAGTCTGAGGAATTTCTTACAGAAAAAGACATTGGTTTGTTTGCTTTTTCTTATGATATCATTTTTTTGAGAAAATTATAAACTTGCATTTCAAAGGTAAAAAGGTAAATCTTAATAACAGATCATTCTTTGAAGAAAGAAAAAAGAAAAAAAAATTATGGACCTGTCTGTGTGAGACCTGAAATGGTATTAAAAATCGTTAAACACCCCTTAATAATATATGTTATTATTTTTCATATATTTGATGAGGTAACTCACTTATTGGGCTGCTATTTTCTTGAGTGTTAATTTTTGTCTCGCTTGACGGCGTCAACAATGTATTAGTTTGTGATTAGGTCTAGTTTATGGTGAACCACTAGTGGTAAGTCAAAGATATTTGGTATGCAGTTGTATTAGTATTGGCACATCTCATTACCATGGAGATTATTTGGCCCCACCCCCTCAGTTATGGTCTATTGACTTTGAAACTTTTGCTTAGTTTTCATGTAATAGTTTGTGATTAGGTCAGTTTATGGGGAACCACTAGTGGTAAGTTAATGATAATTGGTATGCAGTTGTATAAGCATTGGCAGATCTCATTTCCATGCAGATTATTTGGCCCCGCCCCCTCAGTGATGGTCTATTGACTTTTGAAATTTTTGCTATGTTTTCATGTATTAGTTTGTGATGAGGTCAGTTTATACGGAACCACTAAGGATAAGTTGATGATAATTGGTATGCAGTTGTATAAGCATTGGCATATCTCATTATCATGGAGATTATTAGGCCCCGCTCTCTCAGTCATGGTCTATTGACTTTGAAACTTTTGCTTAGTTTTCATGTATTAGTTTGTGATTAGGTCGGTTTATGGCGAACCACTAGTGGTAGGTCAATGATATTTGGTATGCAGTTGTATTAGCATTGGCACATCTCATTACCATGGAGATTATTTGACCCCGCCCCATCAGTCATGGTTTATTGACTTTGAGATTTAGCTTAGTTTACATGTATTAGTTTGTGTTTAGGTTTGTTTAAAGGGAACTGCTTATGATAAGTCAATAGTATTTGGTATGCAGTTGCATTATCGAAATTACAAAAAAGCTAGACATATCGAAAATTTTTTATTAACTTTTAATGAAGGCCATACCTGAATATTATGCCTTCTTATAAATATAAGAAGATGTGGTATAATTAACAATTAGGCAACTCTCCACCAGAGACTAAATGACATAGAAGTTAACATTAGTCCATTTGGAAACATTCTGTTCAGTTGTGATTAAATTTAAAATGGCCTGTAAATAGACACAATCGAAAATATGCCTATGATCAATAAAATTGAGAATGGAAATGGGGAATATGTCAAAGAGACAACAACCCGACCAAAGAGCAGACAACAGCTGAAGGCCACCAATGGGTCTTCAATGCAGAGAGAAAATCCCGCACTTAAATTGAAAATGTTTGCACATTATATACCTTTTTTTTTTTCTGTTAAAGGAAGATGTATTGAGTATCCAGCAAAAAGAAAGGGATGATTCACTGTCAGCCAGAGATTGTCTGTTCTGTAGAGAAAAATTGGAAGGAAATAGGTACTGTTTTTGATGTTGTAATGATGCCATATTAATCAAGACATTAGTTGCATTTTACATTTTAAAGACTAGATTTTTTGTGCATGTTCAGATATTTTTGTCACCCTCGTGATGTGTTGTGGAGGACATAGAAATAGCGGCCGTACATGTGTCTGTCTGTCTATTCTTGTTAGCGCTCTCAACTGTACAATTCCTGCCAGTTTTTATAAAACTTATATCATAGGTTTATATCAGCAATGTCTCGGACAAGTTCCAAAATCAAAAAAGTTATGTCCTTGCAGGGCTCACGTTACCAGGCAACTGGGGCGAAGAAGTTGCTTTCCCGTCTGTCACTTAGCTTTGCCCGACCGTCAAAAGCGAAAACAAGTCGCTTTCAAATTTGCACTAGTCGCTTTTAATCGCCTGCCGATTTTTTGCAGTAAATCGGTAAAAAGTTCCAATGAAATCCGTGAAATATCAATATTTATATTGAAATGCATTAAAATCCCTGAAATGTTTCTGTTTCTGTGTCAACTAAACAAAAAACAGACTCGTTATAGCATCAAACGAGTATGCAGACATTGTTTATCAAAGGGGAATAACAAGTAGGTGTTTGATACTAAACTAAAAAAACGTGTCGGAAAGTGAATGTGTATCCGCATCCAGAGATCCGATTTTTACTTCTAATTGGTGCTAACAAGTAATCTATTTTCAAATTGTTTCTTTTATCTTATTATTGATCAGATAGAATGAAGAAAAATGCCGACATGGTCGTTCAATTTGCTAATGATTACCTATTATAGCTTCGATTTAATTTAATCAGAAAGTGATCAGAACTAATGATCAGAAACAAGGTAAAATTAATTAAATAACTTGTTGTGACAAAAACTTGATGTTTCATGATTAAATGTATTAAATGTATCAGGCTTGGATCGCGCTTGGGTCAATGGAAATTGAGTTCGTCCTAAAATGTCGGAATATTTGTTTCTCTTTGTTTATACCCAAGCTCTGAAGTTGATAAATTCAGCACCACGGAAAAATGGTTAACCATTCTCAAAAATGTCTCTCCAAACGTGGCTTAAATCGCCAGCTCCGTTAAAACGGAAAGCTGATACTAGTGAATTTGAAAATACTCCTCCACTGAAAAAGTTTTGTAAAACTATGACTCAGAACTCTTATGACTGGTACGTCAAGGATACTTTCAATATGTGGCATTGTATTTTGTGTCGGGATGCTAAATTCAGTAATAAATATTCCACTGGACATGACAAGCCTCAGAAAACTACAAACCATTCTAGGCATGCAAAATGTAAGTCTTTTATATTTATATTTTTCATTTACTTGAAGACATCTTGGGCTCTTAATATATATATAACCGGTATATAAAATCATTACTTTTAGATTTATATTATGAAAATGCCTTTTTAGAATTGTATCATTACTTAATAGATTATTTATTATGAATGGAATATATTTTTTCGTTGGTCGTCATTGTATAGAAGTAAAGAAAAGTATGATTTACATTTGTAGACGTCGATAGATAGATTTTTGTTTATAGGAAATATGACATTTTATACGTCTTTACGATACTTAAAGAATAATTTGTATCTCTGGTCAGTAGTAACGATATTTGTTAAAGGGTAAACGTCAGAAAGTACTGAAAAATCTTAGGAAACACGAGATTTTTTAAAGTTTTTAATGTAATCTAATGAACATTTGCCCCAATATAACTTCATTTACGCCAAAGGAATCAATTTCCTTACTGTATAGATGTAAAGATAAGAACGATGTATCTTAAATTTTGTAAATGGGTAGGTTAATAAGTTTTATTCTAGAATTTTGAGCTAATATCAATTTCTGTCGTCTCGTTTAAAGTCCAATCAGAGTATATATGTCTCTGGTCCGATCAAGTCAAACTATTAATTACCGACATGTGTCGATTTGGCATTTTTATTATACACACACGACAGGCAGTCTACAATATCTACCTGTTACATACTATATTAGTTAAAATCTCTGACAGATAGCTATCGGTCACAGGTAAAAATTAAAAATCGATAATTCTTTCGTTTGTTCCTTTGCAAGTCGTTGTATTATTGGAGGGTCTTGATGGGGTTCACATAATATATGGTAGTGAATGAACAAAAATAAAAAGAATGAAGAGTAAAAAATTATTTGAATAAAATTTTAATAAGTTGTATTACATGAATATAAATTTATCCTTACATTCAACAGAAAATAAAAATGATCTTTAAATTTCAGCTGCTGATCACCTGATGGCTATCACCAGAAAAAAGAACATAAGTAGTAAAACAGATACAGGTATAAAAGATATAGTGGTTAAACAAATGTCGAAAGATGATCTTGTCGTAAAAACTTATCTAAAGACTGCATATCACCTGGCCAAACATGAGCTACCTAAAACACAGTTTAAGCCAACCTTAGAATTGATAGAGTCAATCCAAGAAGCTCCAATTCACAAATCTGATACTGTAGCATACACAAGTCATCAAAGTACCACAGAATTTCAGTCTGTCTTATCAAGTATTGTAAAGAAAAACAAGATATACGACATAAATAACTCAGCTGGATATTAGATAACTATAGATGAGTCTACAGATCTTGCCAACAAAAAACGCTTGATAACTTATATAGAATACATTCACAACTTTGTCAAAGAGACATGCTTTCTTTCAAACATACAGATATCCTCAGGCACTGCCAATGCAGAGATGATTACAAACTTAGTTTTAACTGATCTCAAATCAAATGGCTTAGACATAAACAAACTATATGGTATCAGTACTGATGGGGCATCAGTGATGACCGGCAAAAAGACAGGTGTTGTAGTTAGGTTAAGGGAACATGTGCTGACTCTTATAGTTTAGTGAGAGTGATATGATCAGTAAGTTTTCTTTGTTTGTACCTGCTTGTATTGTTAAGGCAGAGAGAGAGGGTAGCCAGGCATTGTTCAAATTTGGCATGGATGAACTAACCTTCATCCTTGACAAATTTGAAGAACGTCTTGGTATAGAGAGAGTAGAGTGTGTGTCAGAGTATAGGCAGTATAAGAGATTAGTGATTAATGATTGGGAATTTCAGCAATTCAAACTTGTCTTCTTGTGTGGAATCAGCATATTGTAGTTTGTGATAAAAACTCAATCATTTTGTGACAATTTATAGTGCAGTGAACATTGAAATAGTGCATATACATCTGTTTTCTTTTCATTACTCTGTTGTTATTTATTTTATTTATGTCTTTATGTATGTTGTTAATGTATGTATGTAATGAAATGAAATGAAACTGACTGCTCAATAAAATTGAACACTGATATAATATTGTATTTGTTTATTATGCTATAATCTGCAACAAAGATATGCCTTGCATTGGCTTTTTTCTATTCCTAAACATGAGCCTGGATCATCACAAGAGCCCTAAAACACAAAGCAAAGATTAAAAGATGCATAGTTAGTTAAAATAACACATGCACTATACTGAGTACATTAAATACTGCATATAATACACAAGGAAACATAAAACTAGAACGTGACGCGTTTGTCGATTCATTATATGGCAAGGTGAACCACTTCTCCCCACTTTTCCTACCAGTCTCAAAAAGAGAAGTCACTTCTCCCTGTAATTCTGAAGTAGTGTGAGCCCTGTCCTTAGAATTATTAATTATATGGAAAATTTCATTGTTAGTGCTCTCATGTGTACAATTCTTCCCATATTTTTCTGAAACTTATATCATAGGTTAATATCAGCAATGTCTTGGACAAGTTCGAAAATTAGTGCCAATCAACTATTTATAAAAGAGTTATGCCCCTTGGAAATATTAATTATATTGGAAATTGCATTGTATTTGCTCTCAAGCCTTCATTTCTCTAAGATATTTGTAAAAAGTTTTTATAGTAATTGCCCTTGGATAGATTAAATATGTGCAAAGGGGGGGGGGGGGGGGGGGGACGTTAGAACTCTGTTCTTTTACAATAATGAATTTGACACATTTGTTTGATTAATTACTGTTATGATATAAAATGTTACTAACATTACTGCTAAAGATGTACAATTTGACATATACCCGGCTCAGTCAATTCAGTGATGTTAACAGCCAAAATATTCAGATTTCCAAAATTTAATACAAATATTGAGTAGCTAATAAAGCCAAAAAGGACAATAGTATAACCAAACCAAGACAAGGAATCAGAGCAATGCATGAAGGAGATAAGTTCAAATGTTTTCTAAAGTTTATCTGTGCAAATTTCATAAAAGCTATATCATTATTTTCATGTCAGTGCGGTAAGTACTGGGCTTCTGAGCTGGTGACACCCTCAGGGACTTATATTCCACCAGCAGAGGTATCGACTCAGTGGTAATAATAACATTAAATGTACCAAATTTACTGCACCTGATGTGCATTTCAACATATAATGTACACATTCTTATTTATGCTATTTTCATTTACCAAAAGGGCTAAAAATTCAAGACCTTGAAATATTTGTTTATAAGAAATAAGTATTAATGCAGAAATAAATGATAATGGAATAGGTTTAAGGAGTGATCACCAAATATATTGAATGGTTTAGATATACGTTTGTATTTTTTTTTGTAGAGGAATGTTGTTTGATCACATGGCTCATGATCATGGATTCAATGTTGGACTGCCGGATAATTTAGGTAATTAATTTTCTGTACCTTTTCATCTCATGTAACTCAAAGATTTATAGTAACTTTCCATTAGCTGTAGGCAGGATTCTGCGTTCGATCAGAGACATATATACACATATGTCTCTGGTTCGATGTTGAAAAATATAATTTTCTTCTTTTTTTTATCAGTCGGTGTGTCAGGTTTATGATCCATTTTATGAAAATACATCTGCATAAAAGGAGATTATAGGTATATATCAATGATACAGCAACTAAACAACACAATAAAACTAGAAAAGAAATTCGAAAGTCAATATATACTCTTCAGCAAAAGACAAGTATATCCATATAGCCCAAAGATCTAGACATGTAATTCCAATTTGTTGTTTGATAGATATGGGAGATATCTGAATTAAAAAAAAAAAATAACAAAATTAGAATCATATTGGAATAATTTTAAAACTCTTCTAGAAATGTTTTCCAGATTTTTTGCAATTCAGATTTTATCATAAAATAATTAGAGCATATAGGTTATTCATCATGTATTTAAGTCACTAGAAAAATAATTCTGTAGTGACAGTGGAATGTGCAGAAATTTTTCACCTATGTGAAATAAGGATCATTTGCTTCTTGCTGACCTTTTTATGAAATCTACGGCTGCCATGAATTATTCCGATTCTAATAGAACAAAGACGGTAATTTTGTCAATCGTGAAAGCCCTATACACACAATACTGTTTTGGCTGTTCCTTTTTACCCCCCATATAATAATATTAATAATATTATATTATTCGAAAATAAATTAAAAAACTCACATTTTTCAACTAAAACTTGTTATCTAATTTTATTACATTCTCAAGTTCATGTTTATGGTACTTTCAAGACAAGGTTATCTGTGTGTGGTTAATACAAAATGTAATTGATTGCTTATAAACTCTGGGAATAAATAGTTTTATCCTTATCAGGTTTATGTGCAAACACATTTGTGGTAATTTGGATCTTGGTATGATTGTGTTTTATGATAAAGTGTTGATTCAATACACCAATAAAATTGAGAATGGAAATGGGGAATGTGTCAAAGAGACAACAACCTGACCATAGAACAGACAACAGCAGAAGGTCACCAACAGGTCTTCAATGCAGCGAGAAATTCCCGCACCCGGAGGCTTCCTTCAGCTGGCCCCTAACCAAATATATATACTAGTTCAGTGATAATGAACGCCATACTTAACTCCAAATTGTACACAAGAAACTAAAATTAAAAATAATACAAGACTAACAAAGGCTAGACGCTCCTGACTTGGGACAGGCGCAAAAATGCGGCGGGGTTAAACATGTTTATGAGATCTCAACCCTCCCCCTATACCTCTAGCCAATGTAGAAAAGTAAACGCATAACAATACGCACATTAAAATTCAGTTCAAGAGAAGTCCGAGTCTGATGTCAGAAGATGTAACCAAAGAAAATAAACAAAATGACAATAATACATAAATAACAACAGACTACTAGCAGTTAACTGACATGCCAGCTCCTGACTTCAATTAAACTGATTGAAAGATTATGTCTTCATCATATGAATATCAGGCACAATCCTTCCCGTTAGGGGTTTAGTATCATACCATCATAACATATATGAGAAGAACATAACCCGTGTCATGCCAACAACTGGTTTTTAAATAAATGTGTTTAGTGCCGATGCAAAGACCCTATAAGTGAATCAATATTAACGCCAAAATATGCAATCTTTAATGACCTGACAACAGTATCGTAACTATATCCCTTCTTAATAAGTCTATTTAAAGGTTTTGTTAGCTTCAGAGGTGAATACTGACATTTTTGTGCTGTATAAAGAATATTTCCATAAAAAATTGGATGTGAAATACCTGAACGTATAAGAAGTCTGCATGTTGAGCTATATTTACGAATGATGTCCTTATACCGATGATAAAATTTAGTAAATGTTTTGAATAGTTTGTGATATCGAAAACCCTGGTGTAATAATTTTTCAGTAATACATAAATTTCTCTCGTTAAAATCTAAAACATTGTTACATACACGAGCGAATCGTACAAGTTGAGATATATAAACACCGTAAGATGGTGACAAGGGAACGTCACCATCTAAAAATGGATAATTAACGATAGGAAATGAAAAATCATCTCTTTTATCATATATTTTAGTATTAAGCTTTCCATTAATGATATAGATATCAAGATCGAGGAAAGGGCAGTGGTCATTGTTAGTATTAGCTTTATTTAAAGTAAGTTCAACAGGATAAATTTCTTTGGTATACATACTGAAGTTGTCATTATTGAGAGCCAAAATATCATCCAAATATCTAAAAGTATTATTAAATTTGTGTATCAGATGTTGTTTCGATGGGTCTTTGCTGATTTTTGTCATAAATTGTAACTCATAGCAATACAAAAAAAGGTCCGCAATAAGTGGTGCACAGTTAGTCCCCATTGGAATTCCGATAACCTGACGATATACGGAATCTCCAAAGCGAACAAAAATGTTATCTAGTAAAAATTCAAGGGCATATATAGTATCAAAGCATGTCCAATTGACATAGTTTTTTTGTTTATTGCTACTAAAAAATGACCTAAAAGAGTTTGAACATTTATATTCACATTCTGACTTTTTAAATGCCCATTTAATTAGGTGTGTGAATTTTTTCTTAATGAGAATGTGAGGCAATGTGGTATATAGGGTAGAAAAATCAAAACTTTGAACAGATTCAAAATCACCAATATATGCATGTAATTTATCAAGTACTTCCAACGAGTTCTTGGCACTCCAAAAGTAATTAATTCCACTATTTTCGAAGGCCTTATTTGAACAATTTATCATCAGGTTTTTGATTGTACCAAGTGTACTGGTAAGAATAGACAATTTAGTAGTGGAACAATGGCTTGAAGACGAAATGAATCTATATTTGTAAGGTGTTTTGTTTAGCTTCGGAAGCCAATACATAGTTGGGACTTTCATTGTATTTGGTTCTGCTTGTAAAGCGGTAGCTAAAAGTTTATGTTTGTTACAGATGTCGTTTTCTGAAAATGGAGTCAGTTGGAATATTGGTGAATTGGTGATTTCTTTTTTCAGAACCTCAATGTAAAATTTACGTCAAACAATAATAATATTATTAGCAGCTTTATCGGCGGGACAAAAACAAATTCCTTGGCTAGTTCTTTTAGTTTATGTTTGATACGAGAAATAGGTTTATTGTGGTTATTGTTAAGAGTAAAATGTTCTTTAAAATGTTGAATACGTATATCAACTATGTTCATTACAGAATTAAAAAAAGAGTCCAAAGATTTTTTGTCAGCTTTTTCCCATTTTATCCATTTCAAACAGTAAGTATGGAGTGAGTCGTGGATGATATTACGACACTCATTCCAATTAATAATTGACCAATACATGTTACATATGATGTACTAACCTCAAAGAAAGTTTACTTAAAATCAATTAAAATTCTTTCTGCCTCACAATTATAGCTGCATTATTTTAGTCTTGACTAGGTTAACAGTCAAGGATGGGAGACATAAAGATCCTACATTCTGTAAGCATTGTTCAGTTTGTGGTGAATTTTTATACCCCGCGGTAGTGGAGGGGGCATTAAATGTTACCCATGCCGTCCGTCTGTGCGTCTGTCCATCCTGAACATCCCCAAAAACATTAGTTTGCCTCAACCAAATATTATAAAACTTATACACAATGCATATTACCACAAAACACAGATCAAGTTCGAAATTGGGTGGCGTCACTTTTACCGTTCATGAGTTATGCCCCTTTATGAACATAAAAATTGCTAAATCTGTCATTTCCGTTCTCTAACTTTAGTTTACCTCAACCAAATGTTATGAAACTTATACACAATGCTTAATACCACAAAACACAGATCAAGTCCAAAATTTGGTGGCGTCACTTTTACCGTTCTTGAGTTATGCCCCTTTATAAATGGAAAAATTGCTAAATCTGTTGTTTCTGTTCTCTAACTTTAGTTTGCCTCAACCAAATGTTATGAAACTTATGCTTATAATCACAAAACAGTCTTAATAACGTGAATCCTGCATCTGTATGTGGAAGTTGACTCATGCATTTTTACAAGCGGGGGCATCTGTGGCCCATAGACACATTCTCCATTTATTTTTTAAACATTGATAACTTTGTCAAACCTTTATGGAAAATTATGAAACTTAGACAGAAGCTTCTTCATGATCAAAAGACAGTATCCAGAGCAGTAATTTGAAAATTTACCTTATCATTTCGATACAGTCTAGGGTTAATGTCTTTAAAACACCAATTACCTTTATCAAACCATTATGGAAGTTTAAGAAACTTTTACAAAAGCTTGTTCATAACCATCTAGAATAAAAAAAAAAATCAGTCAACATCCAGAGACTTTGACCATTTTTTAGTATTGTAACAATTACACCTTGTTAACACAACTCCTCTGAATCTGTGTACAAAAGACTCATACTTGTAGAAATGTTTGCTGACATGTGTTGTCCCATATTGTACCAATATTTTCAATCAACCATTTTTACAGGAGTTATGGGACTTTAATTATTTATTGGAGTATTGTAACAACACCTTGTAAATGCAACTCTTCTGAGACTTTTTTGACAGAAAGCTCTCATAATTGGTAGTATTGTTTGCCATCATGTGTAGTTGGCTACATTATGCCATAATTTTGATTTGATCATTTTTATGGGAGTTGTGGGACTTAAACCATATTTTTGACTATCAGACCACAAAAACACATTGTGACACACAATTTAATGCCTCATTTATACAGTACAGCAAACATTTTGCAATGGCATAGGAATCTTGTTAATATTGAAACTTGGAATCCACAAGTTTAAACATTTCAACATATTTATTTTAGTTTCTGACTTCCAATCAATGAATTTAATAAATTTTGAAATTTGAAAAAAACAATTTCTCATTCACAAAATTGTATTTTTTCGAGGAAAAACAATTTGTCATCCACAAAATTTTCCTACCTTAGGCTGTGATTCTCTCCAGGCACTCAGAGTTCCTCCACCAATAAAAACTGGCTGCCACAAAATAGCCAAAAGTGATGTAAGTGGTGTTAAACAACAATCATTTAATCATCCACAAAAATCAGTATCCAAAAGGTAAAAGAATCCACAGTAGTTTAAAGAAAAATATATTTTTTTATATTTCAGTATACAAAGATGAGTTTTTAGATTTATTACAAGAGAAGTTAAACAAGTAAGTTGAGATTTAAATGTAGGTAAATAAATATACACTCATGATATTAAAGTCAAATTCACAAATCAGTGTCTCTATATTGGGTTGGAAATGCTTGCAAGAGTATTATTTGATACTATTACAGATAAGCAAAAATTATAATCACACCAAACAAGTTAAAAGTTTTTGGCATATAGATGAAGCAAGACTAGACTTACCAGTTTAGTTGTCATTCAAAAAGTCTATGTTATAAGCAGTGAGGAAGCAAATACATGTAATAGATTTTAATTTTTAAAAGTATTAATTTCAACTAGGCCTAACCACCTAAGCTAATAGGAAGTTAGACAAATAACTTCTACATCAGTTCTAAAATTTTGCATTTACTGTGTCTAAGATTTTAATTTTTCATGTTGATATCTTTTCAGTTTAAATTGTTTATATTGTGAGAAGACATTTAGAGACAGAACTGTTTTAAAAGAGCACATGAGAAAGAAACAACATAGAAAAATTAATCCTAACAATAAAGTTTATGACAGATTTTATATGATAAATTATTTGGTAAGTACCATCAATTACATTGCAGTATTTTTTTTATCAAATCTCATGTGTACCAAACTTAAGGGAAAATCTCAAAAGGAAAACTTACATTTTCTATGAATAAAAAAATCTTAAAACTTCTAAGAATTTTTCAGACGAAAAATATTCTTTTTATAGTTGTAATGACTGTAAGGTGTATTTAAAGTTGTAATGACTGTAAGGTGTTTTTATAGTTGTAATGACTGTTAGGTGTTTTTATACGACCGCAAAAAGTTTTGCGGTCGTATATAGGTATCACGTCATCGTCAGCGTCGTCCGAAGACATTTGGTTTCCGGACAATAACTTTAGAATATGTTATTAGAAATCTATGAAATTTAAACACAAGGTTTGTAACCACAAATGGAAGGTTGGATTGATTTTGGGGGTTATGGTCCTAACAGTTTAGGAATTAGGGGCCAAAAAGGGGCCAAAATAAGCATTTTTCTAGTTTCCAGACAATAACTTGTGGAAAGGTGTATGGATCTCTCTGAAATTAACCACAAGTTTCCATACCACAAAGGGATGGTTAGGATTTGCTTTGGGGGGTGATGGCTCAAACCATTTAGGAATTAGAGGCAAAAAGGGGGACAATTTTTTCTCATTTCAGATTTCAGAAATTTTAAAAAGGAAATTTCTTATTTTTTTTTTTTTTTTGCCAAAAAAGGGGAGGGGTAAAAAAAAAAATTTTTTTTTGGGGGGAGGTCAATTTGCAACAGCATAGTGTATTGCACAAAAGCAAAAAAAAAGGGGGGGGGGGGGGGGGGGGTCAATTCGCAACAGCATAGCGTATTGCACAAAAGCAAAAAATTGAATATAAATTCAAATCATATAACCAATTTTAAGTTCTTTGACTACAGTTATTCTGTGTCAGAAACCTATTATGTGTCAAATATTTAATTACAATCCAAATTCAGACCTGTATCAAGCGCGAATATTGTGTCCATTTTTGCCCCAACTGTTCAGGGTTGGACCAGCTGCGCTCAGCAAAGCAATTTATTATAGTTGTAATGACTGTAAGGTGTTTTTATAGTTGTAATGACTGTAAGGTGCTTTATTAGGAGTATGCACATTAAAATGAGACTTGTCTAGTTAGACTAGTGAAAAGCAGGGGTATGGTCCTGAATGAGCATGTGTTATTTGCTGTCTGACATAAAGTAGACATGATTTTATCAGTGTTTGAAAACAATAGTAGCTTCAAATTCAAAGTTCAAAAGCATTATTTATAGACCAATATTTGTATACAGAATACATAAGCTCTATTGAGCTTTTATTAGTCCCCTACCGACGAAGTCGAAGGGTACTTTAGGTTTGCACTTCGTCCGTCTGTCCGTCCGTCCGTCTGTCCGTCCGTCCATCCGTCAGTCCGGCAAATCAGCTTTCCACACTTTTTTCTTCGTTCTTGAAGATATTGATTTGATATTTGGTATATAGTTTTATCATGATAAGTTATAGATCAAGTTTGAATTTTGTTCCGGTCTGATGATCTAGTCCAGAGTTATGGACCATAACTCTGGACCATATCTAATGTTAGAGTACTATGTTTAACCATATTTCTGTACAAAGGGAGATAACTCATTTTTTAAAAGACATTCATTGTCAAATTATTTGAAGAATTTTTTAGCAGATTTGTTTGTTATTTAGTATAAACTAATTTTCTGAATGCTATATATATATGAAGAAAAATTTATGAAGAGAAATCCTTTAATTAGATAATAATCTATTTTTATTAATGTATATATTTCAATACATTACATTGTGTAGATAAATGTTGTTGACATTTTATAGATAAGTTACAAATCTATATTAGTTTGTGACAAATGAAAGAAAAAATATATGGAACTATTAATTATATTTGATTATAATTTGAAAATAGATATACACTGTATTACATCATATCTAATTTTAGAGAACTATTAAACATATCTAATGTTTTTTCCACACTGTTTTTAGTCATGCTTGAAGATATTGACATGATATTTACTTTTTGTTTACACCATGACAAGTTAGCATTTTGTTCCAGTAAAACAAATTTTTACCCGGTAGGGGACTATGTATTGCCACGCAATACTCTCAGAATGCCTGTATCATCTTATTACAAACAAAACATCAGCAATTATCACTGAAGTCAACACTAGATTTTAATTTGTCAATATATATTTATAAACATGTACTTAAAGGTAAAACATCTAGAAAACTAGTTTTATAATATTTTCATAGGAACTAGGTAAGAATTGGGAGGCTATACAATCTGAAGATGATACAGCCATAGATAATGATGCTGAGTCAGAAAAGGAGTAAGTTATTAAGATGAACTTTGTATTGGAAACATTCTTCTCACCTGTGACAGATGTTGGTAAGGGTAAAACATATGTATTGGAAACATTCTTCTCACCTGTGACAGATGTTGATAAGGGTAAGACATATGTATTGGAAACATTCTTCTCACCTGTGACAGATGTTGATAAGGGTAAGACATATGTATTGGAAACATTCTTCTCACCTGTGACATATGTTGGTAAGGGTAAGACATATGTATTGGAAACATTCTTCTCACCTGTGACAGATGTTGATAAGGGTAAGACATATGTATTGGAAACATTCTTCTCACCTGTGACATATGTTGATAAGGGTAAGACATATGTATTGGAAACATTCTTCTCACCTGTGACATATGTTGATAAGGGTAAGACATATGTTTTGGAAACTTTCTTCTCACCTGTGACATATCTTGATAAGGGTAAGACATATGTTTTGGAAACATTCTTCTCACCTGTGACAGATATTGATAAGGGTAAGACATATGTATTGGAAACATTCTTCTCACCTGTGACAGATATTGATAAGGGTAAGACATATGAATTGGAGACATTGCGTGTGAAAAATGTAGCTTAAGTTAAATATGAATTCTAATCTATTGACAGTTTGATTTTTTTTAATAGTTCAGAAAGTTCTAGAGCTAAACAATTCAAATTTGGTTTGTAGATGACTTATGACAACTTTTTTTGTCCAGTATGTGTCTAAATTTTTATAGAAATAAGGAGATTTTGTATGATTGATAAAGAGACAGCTATCCACCAAGATCAAAGGACAAAGTTGTGAGTTATTACAGGTTGCTGTGCAGCCTGCAACAACAAGCAAAACAAGTATTATACAGAAATCTATAAATGGCCACCAATAGCCTGATTTGCACTGCAATGAGCAAAACAAGTATCAAAATTTCAGGAGCATAAACAACAAATGATTTAATCTTTAAAATTGGCCAAAATGTAATTTATATTTTTACAAATGAATATGTCAATTTGCTTGTTTTTAAGCTAAGTGCTGTGCAAAATTCACATAATTTGTATAAAGTATATGTTTCTACATGAAAAAAAAACACTGTGACAAAAAAGCAATCTTAATCATAGAATTTTGATATAAGATATGAAGAAATAGGAATTTTTTTGTCGCAGAATGCGAGACATAGGGATTGCAATCGGGCGGCGATGACAGCGTAAACTGTTTGTATAAAGCTTTATATTTCAAAAGGTAGAAGACCTGGATGCTTCATACCTTGTTTACAAATCAAACATGTATTCTGTGCAATTTGGAGGGAAAGTTGACTGTTTTCCGATGATTTTGTTGTGTATAGAAAACATAAAACAGTGAATTTTCCCCCAAAATTTTACTCATTTTTAGCTTGATTTTACTTCTTTTAAGTTGCTCTTACTTGACCGAGTACCAGAATGTCCTACCACAGAGATGGTAACCTGTCGAAAAAATATGAACTCTGTAGTCAAAAGTCGGTAATATGAAAATAGTCTATTATTTGTTTTGCCATTTCTGAACCAAGATGGCTGAATACTCCCATACTACATTAGATAACATTTACATTGAGATACAGAGCTAAGGAACTAAAATTCACAGAGTAGTCATGGTTTATCAGTGTTATTTTATTGATTGGTAGTAAAGGTTTATACAAAAACCACAGTGGATTAAATTTTATGTAAAAGGAAGATTATGGTCAATACTGGGTGCCAAACAAAATGCATTTTGATTTGATAAAACATGTAAGAGGGTTATTATTTGTGCCAGCTCTATTTCTTCATAAGAAACTGTACAATCCTCGAAAAATTCTTTTATACACTTCTTCCTGTAATTTTATAATGTGAATAATTTTTTATTTGTATAGAGATGATTACAGTGACTGGGAAGAAGTAGGAGCTCAGGCTGTGTGTCTGTATTGTGAATTCTCATCCAGCATACCTGATAAACTTCATGCTCACATGCAGGTACAGTATACCCCAGGAATTATGTCTGTAAATGTAATTTCTATTTAGGCATACATGATAAGCTCCATGTTCACATGCAGGTATATAACACCCCACACTCTCAATCTTTAAGTGATTTCACATCAAGCATACCTGATCAACATCATGCTCACATGCAGGTAAAGTTCACCCCAAGATGTGATTCTTTATTTTTGAATTCACATCAAACATACCTGATCAGCTTCATGCTCACATGCAGGTAAAGTTCACCCCAGGATGAGATTCTTTATTGGGAATTCACATCCAGCATACCTGATAAGCTTCATGCTGACATGCCGGTTATTGAACCCTAGGGTGAGTGTCTGTAATTATGAATTCTTATTCAGCATACCTGATAAACTTCATGCTCACACACAGGTATAGTACACTTCAGGCTGTGTGTCTTTATTGTGAATGCTCATACAGTATAGCTGCTAAATTTCATGGCCACATGCAGGTACAGCCTGTAACAATTGTGAATGCTCATCCTGTATACACAAGCAGGTACAGCATGGAACAATTGTGAATGCTCATCCTGTATAAGAAATGGGTTTCATGCTCTTATACAGTTATAGAAAACCCAATAATATGTGTCTGCATATTGAATTTTATTTCAGTGTGCTACATTAGTTTCATGATCAAACATGGGTATAGTAAACACAAAGCAGTATATTTGTATTATGATCTCACATCCAGATACATTGTAACCAAGGCTGAATATCTGTATTGTACCCTGGTTCATTCTAAACTTCATGATGACAGTCAGTTGATTATGACATGTTCTTAATTAAATACAAATCAGGTTAAAGATGTGTATAAGATTATACAATTGATGCACCGTGTAACATTTTAATTGATTTATCACTTGTACTACTTTTCTTTGAATCAAAAGAGTATATCTCTCATACTATAACTAGCAAAATAAGGAGATTTATACAAGGCTACCTGTATTGACTTTAAGTTATCATTCTTAGACAACTATATGTCAATGTGAACATACAGTATTCAAATGGCTACTATTATGTCTGAATATTTCTTTTTAGGAGCTGCATGACCTTGACTTGAAGGAAATAAAACTTAGACTAAACCTCAACTTCTATCAACAAGTAAAGTTAATAAATTACATTCGAAGACAGGTAATATTTCCCATGGTTTAACTTTACTTAATATACTTAATTTCCTCTGATTTGTATACTGTGGTCAAACATGATAATAGAAAATTTTCTTTTGAAAAGTGCTCCTTCTTTATTAATTTGTAAGTTGCATTTTTGTCTCGCCTTGACGTAGTCAAATAGCAAGACATAGGTATGCTGTTTCCGTGTCGGCGTCAACAATGTATGAGTTTGTGATTAGATCTAGATTATGGTGAACCATTAGTGGTAGGTCAATGATATTTGGTATACAGTTGTATTAGCATTGGCACATCTCATTTCCTTTGAGATTATTTTGCCCTGCCCCCTCAGTCATGGTATATTGTCTTTGAAACTTTTGCTTAGTTTACATTTATTAGTTTGTGATTAGATCAGTTTAAGATGAACTGCTAATTTTAAGTCACTGGTATTTGGTATGCAAATTTATTTGCATTTGCAAGTCTTGATTCCATGGAGATTATATAGCCCCACCCCCTCATCATGGTTCATGAGACTTTTACATAGTTTACAAGTTAATGTTTGTGTTTAGGTTTGTTTAAAGGGAAAGACTTATGATAAGTCAATGTTATTTGGTATGCAGGTGTATTAGCTTTGGCATATCTCATTTCCATGGAGATTGTTTAGCCATGTACCTTCACTAATGGTTCATTGACTTTGAATATTTGCATAACTTACATGTTAAAGAATTGCTATTTTAATTTCAACATTTGCATTATCAAAATTACAAAAAGGCGAGACATATCTCTGTGTTAACAGTTTATTATACTATTTTCATGTGTTCTGCGACTAACTTATGTGTTCTTTGTCTTTTTTGTGTTGTATTGTGTTGCTGGGTCTTAATAGATGTATATCCCCTTTTGTCCCCCATTGCAACCCGTTGCAGGGGACATAGAAATACTGGGCATCCGTACGGTTTTGTTAGCTCTCTCTGTGTACAATTCTTGCCAGATTTTTATAATATATCATAATTTATATCATAGGTTTTTATCAGCAATGTCCCAGACAAGTTAGAAAAATCACTGCCGATCAATGCAGTCTGTGCCAAACTCTTGGTTTCTGTTTGACATTCGGTCAGACAGTGTTGTAGGTTTTATCTGACCAAACAGATTTTTGTCTGTCTGAAAATAAAATCAATTATTTAAGCTTATTGTGTTGTTCTTAAATGTACTGTGTTGTTTTATGATAATATTGATGGTAAAAATTGCATTTTAGGAAAGCAGTTGATAAATTTTAGCCCCTTGAACATACTTCAGAGTAAACATTTTACCTGGAAGTTTTCATTTCTATTGAACTGTGCGCACACACATCAAAATACAATAATAAGTCAGAGAACGGAGATTGTGAAAACACTGGACATACGGATCACAATTGACATACGATTTGGAAGACCGGCATCTATTTCATCTGTCAGGACCATGGGACTGCTGGTGTTTGGCACGAACTGCAATGATTTTTAAAAGAGTTATGCTCCTTGGAAATATTTATTATATGGAAAATTGCATTTTTATCGCTCTCATGTGTGTTGTCTCACACAAGGTCAAAAATTAGTGCAGATCAACAAATTTTAAAAGAGTTATGCCCTACGAAATATTAATTATATGGAAAATTGCATTGTTAGCACTCTCATGTGTACATTTTTTGCCCTATTTTTATGAAACTTGTATCATAGGTTTATATCAGCAATATCTTGGACAAATTCAAATATCGGTGCTGATCTATTATTTTAAAAAGAGTTACGCTCCCTTGGAAATATTAATTATATGGGAAATTGCATTGTTAGCGCTCTCATGTGTACAATTTTGCCAGATTTTTATCAAATTCATATCAGGTTTATATAAGTAATGTCTTGTACAATTTGAAAATCATTGCCGATCAAATTTTTTTAAAGAGTTATGCCCCTTTGAAATATTTATTATATCAGAAAGTGCATTGCACTTGCTCTCAAGCTTTCATTTCTCTAAGATATTTATAAAATTTTAAAGAACAATCAAAAAAGGTTTTTTTTTAGTTATTGCCCTTGGACAGATAACGCGGGGAACTCTATATTTTTATTCTCTCTGTATTCTATATCAGGAAGGGTTGAGTTTTCATTAAACCTGTGAAACTTCCACAATGTTAATTTGTTTGTCACAAGTCTAAAGTCTTGTAAATATTATTTTACATGGTCTTTAATTGTTTTTCATTAATAAAATCTTGTGTTTGTCTGTTTTCAGATCTTTAGTTTTCATTGTTAGATTTTTGTACAACTTGTCAAAATCTTTGATGAATTAATATTCTTTTATGCTATGATGTGAGCACCTACTTATATTTAGAAACTGTCAAGAAATTCATTTTGTGTTATTATGTGCTTTTTCCCCCTGAATTTTTAAGCCATTGATAACTCATAAAAAGCTTAATTATTAAACATACTTTCTTTAGAAAATAGGCAGATACAGGCTTGTCTTTTGGGTATTTTTGGTGGATAGTTGTCTCATTGGAAATCATACCACATTTTCTTATTTTTTCAATGTTCTTTTTTCTTACATTTTTTGAAAAGACAGCTTATACAAGATGTAACACTGCACATCTCAAATTTACAATTGTAAGCTACTTTGTTTTCTCTGTACATGATTATTTTAAACCAATTACAGATTTTAGTCTCACAGTCATGCAGAAGATCTGATTCTATGACGTTTAAAATATTTTTTTTAATAACAGTTAACTATTTATTATTGAAACAAAAGCAAACAAATTGAAGACAATATAACAATATTCAAACTGTTTAAAGCATATTTCTTTTTAAAAGGTTCATCTTGGTATATGTATTGGATGCCAAGAGAAGTTTGAAGACAGAAAGGCTTTAATAGACCATATGCATGAGAAGGGCCACACAAACATGATACCTGATCTGTTGACTTGGGATCAGCCTCAGTAAGTGCATTTCAGTCTTAAAAAAGGAAGGACAGAAAAAGGACACTATAACCACAATAGTTTTAAATTATTTTTTGATGGATCTGAATTAATCCACTGTTAAAGTTAATGCTCTACTACAAATCTCAGTAATCATCAGTTATTCTTTAAATCTCACCTAGCTTTTTTTTTCACAGTTGCTTATATTTTGTGCTGGTTGTATATTAGGTGTCATATGATGCTCTCTCATTTGTTCATGTTTCTCATTTTCTTTATCTTCTGAACCTGCTGGGCCAAACAGAGCATTAAAATTATTGATAGGCATATACATCTTATATGAAACAACAAGGCCAACACAAAAAGCATAGTATAAATGATGCTATTACATAGATTCCTCAGTCCATACTTTTTGAAATGCATACATTGCAGCTGTAATATCATATATGTTTTTGAAGTACTGAAAAAAATTGAACTGTATCGTCTGTGAAACCAATTATCCAATCTGAATTGAAATTGACAAAAAAGATGTATGAAACATCCCGTATAAAAACTCCTATTTCATGCAAAAAACATTGCCACAGATATTATTCATGCTTCTTATAAGTCAGTTTTTGAAATTCCTTCTCCTCTGAAAAAAACCAAACATTTTCAAACTTAACATGAATGGCAATAAGTTTACCAATTTTCAAACATTATTGTATACAGATGGCATACTTGGGAGGAATTAGTGACACATAGATTTGATTGAACACTATGTAAAATCACATTTTTTATGCCCCCCCCCCCCCCCCACCCCGCGGCGGAGGGGCATACTTGGGAGGAATTGTATAAGTTTCATAACATTTTGTTGAGGCAAACTGAAGTTAGAGAACGGAAACCAATTTTGGGAAGTACGTATAGACGGACAAGGGTAAAACTTAATGCCCCCACCGTAGCGGAGGGGGCATTAAGTTTTACCCTTGTCCGCTACGGTGGGGGCATTAAGTTTTACCCTTGTCTGTCTGTACGTACGTCCCAAAATTGGTTTCCGTTCTCTAACTGCAATTTGCCTCAACCAAATGTTATGAAACTTATACACAATGCTTATTACTACAAAACACAGATCATGTTTTAATTTTGGTGGCGTCACTTTTACCGTTCTAGAGTTATGCCCCTTTACAAATGGAAAAATTGCAGAATTTTTTGTTTCCGTTCTTTCACTTTAGTTTGCCTCAACCAAATGTTATGAAACTTATACACAATGCTTATTACCACAAAACACAGATCAAATTTGAATTTTGGTCACGTCACTTGTACTGTTCTAGAGTTATGTCCCTTTACAAATGGAAAAATTGCTGAATTTTTTGTTTCCGTTCTCTAACTTTAGTTTGCCTCAACCAAATGTTATGAAACTTATACACAATGCTTATTACCACAAAACACAGATCAACTTTCAATTTTGGTGGCGTTACTTTTACCGTTCTAGAGTTATATGCCCCTTTACAAATGGAAAAATTGCTGAATCTTTCGTTTCCGTTCTCTAACTTTAGTTTGCCTGAACCAAATGCTATGAAACTTATACACAATGCTTATTACCACAAAACACAGATCAAGTTTGAATTTTGGTGGTGTTACTTTTACTGTTCTAGAGTTATGCCCCTTTACAAATTGAAAAATTCCTGAAATATTTTCTTCTGTTCTCTAGCTTTAGTTTGCCTCAACCAAATGTTATGAAACTTATGCACAATGCTTATTATCACAAAACTCAGATCAAATACAAATTTGGGTAGCGTCACTTTTACAGTTCTTGAGTTATATCCCTTTATAATGTTATATGCAAGCGGGGGCATCATCTGTGTCCCATGGACACATTCCCCATTTATTGCTTCTCTAAAACTACTGGTTTATAATCCTCAATATGTTCCTGTTGAAAACAAGGCAGATAGACTCAATTCTTGAATCTAATTGTTAAATTTTAAAATTTCTTTTCCTCTGAAACTACAAGTTCAAATCTTTTCAATCTTATGAAGATTATGATTTGTGTACTCTCCTTTATTTCTGATTGAGTGGTATTCTTAGTGAAAATGATCCAAAACACTTTCTCGTTGAAACTTTATTGTATGAAATAATACTATATATAAAATCACAGTTCTCTGTAGCTGTTATCTCTCCTTTTTTGGTTCTCTTATTTTGAATAGAAGGAGTTGTTAGGTATTCATCAAATGATCAATGATGGATCAAGTACTCTTCTAATTGATGCATTGACTTGAACTGAGATTTGTTGAAATAACTTTCTGAATCAAATACACCAATTATTAACTGATTTTCACAACTTTACTCATGTTCACAATACACATACATTTCAGGTACTCAGGCACCTTTCTTTCTTTCGTTCTCATATACATAACTCTTTGATTTGTTTATGTCACTGGCTAAAACATAACCACCACTTATCCACTCATGTACACAATTTGTTTTTTATGCCCCACCTAGGGGCATTATATTTTTCGGTCTGTGCATCTGTTCATCCGTTCCTCCGTCCATTTGTCCGTCCGTCCGTCTGTTCCTCTTCAGGTTAAAATTTTTGGTCATGGTAGTTTTTGATGAAGTTGAAGTCCAATCAACTTGAAACTTAGTACTCATGTTCCCTATGATATGATCTTTCTAATTTTAATGCCAAATTAGAGTTTTGACCCTAATTTCAAGGTCCACTGAACATAGAAAATGATAGTGCCTGCTTCAGGTTAAAGTTTTTTGTCAAGGTAGATGATATGATCTTTCTAATTTTAAATAGACTATTTTCTTATTACTGACTTTTGACTCCAGAATGTATAATTTTTTGACAGGTTACCTAGCTGTACTCTGTGGTAGGACATTCTGGTACTCAGTCAATAAGAGCAATTAAAAGTAGTAAGATCAAGTTTACAATCAGTAAAAGGACAAGGTTTACTTTAGGCCAAATATCGCCTTGAAATTCAATTTTATTATAAAGTATCAAATTGGCCATAATTTGGTTCTTAAATGGATCTATTTCAAAAGCCTTAATATAAGGTTAAACAAATTTCTTCATTAGAGTACATTCTAGGCTTGAAAGACAGCACATTTTGGAAATATTGTCAAAAAACAAATGATTTTGTGCATTATTCTGAACTCAAAGCTTGAGGAAACCCTTGGCCGCAACACAGGATCCAAAATGTGCTGTAGCCAAAAGTTGCCAATCACAGTGAATGGTGACATTGAATCCCTAGACCAGGGCTTCCAAAATATATCTGAGCCAGCCGGACATTTTTTGTCTTGTCTTATCCTGATTTCAATCCCTGAAGACTTAGTAACAAAAGGCAAGCATTTTAATCAGTTGGGCATCATATGAACAATGATTAACACATAGGGCCTAGACACAAAAACTTTCTGGATCAGGGGTGGCGGACAAAGTAATTGAAGTTAAAAACTGTGAAGAATTATTGAAAATTTGACCAAAACTGATTTTGTATTAAAAGTTATATCACAACTATTTCTATGTGAAATTTATAGTATTTTTGCCCTATTAAAAAACATCAAATTCTAAGGGCCAATTTTAACCTGCGTGAACTTACTCCTTTGAGGGGAAAATAAACTGTTTTCCAATGATTTTGTTATGTATGGAAAACATAAAACAGTTTATTTTTATTTGAATGCCTGTGATAATACCTCTCAGACAGGACAATGAAAACAAGCTAACAGCAGTTTTAGATAACCTGTAAAACTGAATATAGAATTACTGCCTTATCACCATTACTGCAATTGTTGATGAATTCAAAACAAATTGTCATTCTGCCCTCAGTGTACATCTGTCTTTCTCATCCAAATTATTATGCAATTTACCCTCTCTAAAAACTGATTATCTTACAATTTTAAGGTAGGGATTAAAAAGGTATTTTTATAGATTCTGACGGAAATAAATACATATTTAACGTCCTCTTAGATTGATAAATGACTGGTTTAAATCAAGAGTTAATCCCCTTTTGTTGGTAAAATCAATGCAAGCATTTTAAATGTTCATATAATGGAAAGTTTGAAAGTAATATGTAAATCTTGAATGAAGTCTTGAATAATGATAAATTATTTTTGTTGTTGATAAAGAATTAAAAAAGCATTTCCTCTTCTTTTCGTTTCTCAAAAAAAAAATATAGTGAAGACATTTGTTACATGGATGAGGCAAAGAAAAAGATTTATGTTGTACTTTAATCTTTTCTTCCTGCTGAGATCAAGCTGTTAAAGCTCACTGAGAAAACATAAAACCATGTCTATTTTTTATATATTTGATTCTGTTGGTCCATATATAGATATTCGTCTTCTGTTGTGAGTGAGTTAAGATATATTTCCAGTCTAAATAGTTTCTATAATATCACTTTTTAAAAGTGGATAACTATTAGAAATCATGAGCAAAACCAGTCCTCATAATAAACTTCTACAGTCATAGACCTGATGATATTTTTAAAAAATTTATGTACAGATTCTATTTACCAGTAGTAAAAAATTCTTTCAGGTTGGAAAGAAATACAAGCCTAGGCTGATGAGCCTGTGGCCAAGTGGGAAGAGTGCAAATCAGATGTAGATTTTGTTTCTGCCACATGTTTTTCGGTTTTTGTTGAGCCTTCGACTTTTGTCGAAAAAGCGAGACAAAGCGATCCTACATTTCGTCGTCAACGGCGGCGTCCACAAATATTCACTCTGTAGTTAAAGTTTTTGAAATATTAATAACTTTCTTAAACTAACCTGGATTTCTACCAAACTTGGACAGAAGCTTGTTTATGATCATAAGATAGTATCCAGTAGTAAATTTTTAAAAAAAAATCTGGTTTTTCCGTATTTTACTTATAAATGGACTTAGTTTTTCTGCCAGGAAACATTACATTCACTCTGTGGTTAAAGTTTTTGAAATTATAATAACTTTCTTAAACTATCCTGGATTTCTACCAAACTTGGACAGAAGCTTGTTTATGATCATAAGATAGTATCCAGATGTAAATTTACTAAAAAGAATTTTTTTTTTTTCTGTATTT